AAAGCCATTTCCCCAGGAGGATGGGCATGTCATAGTGCTTTCCCCTCCGTTCTCCTTTCAGGATTTTGAGAACACACATGCCCACACTTGGAGTATTTTTCAAGCTACCAGATCTGAGACTTGAACTGTGTAGTCAGGCCATGTGTGATCCAGCCACCTTAACCTCCATGCCCCAAGCTGGCCCCTCCTCTCCATACTTTTAGATTCCCTTTGTAATGATCAACAGTTCCTCCTTGTTCTTACTGTTGCACTGGCAGAGGGTGCCCCCAACTTAAAAAAAAGAAAGAAAGAAATCCCAATCTTCTTCTATATTCACCCTCGATTTTGTTCAACATCACATTCTACAGTTTTTCTTTTCTATGGATTTTAAAATTACTTTCTATAATTTTTCTTACCAAGTGATGGTTTATAAAATTTCTAAATGTAAAATATTGTGAAATTTTCTTTTTCCCTTCAAACTACATTTTCCCCCTCTCCCCACCGAAATTGACTCCCTAAGAGAGTTCTTCACCATCTCAGGTGACTATTGTACCAGACAGGCCGGTAAACACAATGTCCCCTGGAACAGAATACAGATTCCAAGAGACCATTTTCAAACATGAATAACTTCATTCTTTTGAGTGCAAGCACAGAACCAGATGCATATTCACGTTCTTATTTTTAAAAAAATTATTTGTTTATTTCTTCTATGAATGGAAGAGACAGACAGCACCCCCAATAGGGTCTCAACACCACCATCCAACCCCAGCTTCAGGCAGCCCCAGATCATGGGTCTGTGTTTTCCCAGCATATTCAGGGAAGTCTCTGGACACGAACTCAGAGTCTTCGGAAAGCGAGAAATCGCCCCTTGGAGGGATGGCCACACCACAATCCCTTCTCTTCCATTCTCTTCTTGGGATCTTGGGGACACATGCAAACATGCCCAGCATGAGTTTTAAGCTGCCTGGTCCAGCATTTGAACTACAGTCACCTACATGGGAGTCCAGTGATGTAACCATTATACCATCTGCCTAAGACTTGGTTCAGAAAGGTTAAGTACTTGGCCTAGGATCACCCAGCATGTAAACCAGCAGAGCAGGGATTAGGAGTGTGGGCAGTAGGTAGCTAAGCCTCGTGTGTCTGCAGAATGCTACTCCCTGCTTCTTGTCCTTGACCTGCCCCATGTAAGGATTTAATAGCCCATCAAGGAGACGCCAGAGAACTAAGAGGAAGCAAAGGTTACTCAGCAGTTGGGAGCCAGGCAGGTGGTTGGCTAATTGGGAATGGGTTCAAGTGAGACTCTCCACTCACACCATTCCAGCAAGGATAAAATGTGACCCCAGCTACTAAAATCTCTGCTCAGGAATGGTGTCAGGTGAGAATTCACACAATTGTGCATTGTCCAGTTATTTAATGTCCAGTACTGACAGCCACTGGGCCTCGTGCTGCAGACAGAGTTAACCTCAGCTGTCATTTTCTTTTTTTTTTTTTTCTTTTTTATTGTGGAAGAAATATACTACTGCAGAACCTTAACCAAGAGGTGCGCAGCCCTGCAAAGTTCTCATTTCATTCATGTGGCATGCTGGGGAGACATCCGTGCTCTTTAAAGAGAAGCAGATTGCCTGTCCAACGTGCCTGGCTTTGCTCTTGAACCTGCCTTGCAGGGACTTGAAAGGCCTCTGCGTTCCACCTGGCTTTCTTCCCTCTCTTTTGTTCCCTTCTTGCGGGATCCACATCCAGATGCAGCATCCTATTAACATCAGCTGCAGCCTTTTCATGAGAAAATTCCTAGAGGGCACCAGGTTGGGGAGGACTTTGAAGTTGCCTTTCTTCAGGGTGTTTGATGTGTCCCCTTCCCCGCCCTGCCTGGTCCTAGAGAAATGGCCACTCCCTCTGCTTCAGCGCTGGGATGGCCACCACTCAGCATCTTTGTTGTCAGGTGGAAGGATGATGGACGGATGGGACCGTCTGTCAGGGGACTACAGTTTCCAGTTCCTGATGGGCCAGGACCATGCAGCTGTGGGCTCTCTCAGTCTTGTCCTGTGTAGGGGTCCTGTTGTAGCACTCGAGTGAGAAACCCTGGAGGGATGTGGACGTGGTTGCAGGATGGTTGAAGATGACAGCAGAGGGCCTTTGGGACAGGACAAGCCAGTTGCAACTTAGGGAGTCTGATAAGTCCCCTTGGGACGGCTGTCCTCAGGGAGGTTGCTTTTCAGCAGTGCAATTCGGGAGAAATAAAAAGCAATGGAGGAAGGAAAATGGCGTGAGTTAACCATGGTAGGACCATACTCCCTGCTGCTGTGGGCTGGGGCCTATCAGAGGGCTGGGCTGCCCAAGAATGAACTTCTGCGCTTTCTTTTCTTTGGTGCATCTGAAAGGTACGTAGCCAGGAACTGGGCAAGGCATGCCCAGGACTCAACCCCAATGGGGTCCTGGTGTGGAGAGCCTCATGGTGTGGCCTGGGCCCTCACGGCAGGCTCAGGCCACAATTTTTTTCTCTGCTCTGCCAGTGAACCTAGCGGCACCCATAAGTATCCCTTAGGACATAGACTTCCTCCTCCATCTTTTGAAGGTACTTTCTCTGGGCTTGCTTTGTGTTTCTCTTTCCGGGCCTCCCTCCAGGCTGTTTCTTTCCCTGGATATTGGAGATGCTCAAAGCATACCCTAAGGGGCCAGATTGTGGGGGTGGAGTGGGTAGCAGTAAACAGATACGACACTCTGGGAGACTGACCCACATGGGAAGGTTTGTGGTTCAAGTCCAGACACCTCTGAGTGCACCGGGCATGTGTGCCGGTGATCTGGGGCCGGCTTCAGCTGGGGGTGGGTCACAGCATCAGGGCCCTGGTGAAGGTGCTCTCTCTTGCTCATGGAACGAAGAAAGAAAGGAAGGAAAGAAGGAAGGAAGGAAAAGAAACTTTTAAAAGCACATCCTTAAGTCTAGCCAGATGGCATGAAGGTTAGGGCAACTGTCTCCCACATGGCCTATAACGCAGTTCAAGTCCGGGACCCGGCAACTTGAAAAACATTCTGGGTACATGTGATTGTGTGTCCAAAAATCCCAAAAAGAGAACAGAGGAGACAGGAATGGCCAACTTCCATGGTGTGTGTGTGTGTGTGTGAGATTTCTTACTTTCTCTCTCCGTCCATCAAGCCCATAACAGATATTTAAAAAAAAAAAAAAAAAAAAAAAAAAAAAACACCCCCCACACCGG